AAAAGAATGGGCTGAATTACCACATAGGTATCTTGAGAAAATCTAGAAGGATAACTAATGTCATGTTTGTTTTTATTTTGTTTTTGACACACATACAGAATCACATGGAAAACCAGTTAATTTTTAACGTTTTATTTGAAAAAGCAACAAGAATCTGGAAGCTGAGAACTGCAGGAAGTCAGTTGAACTTTGTGGTTGGTCTGAGGGATGAAAGTAGTTTCATCATCTTAATGAACATAAAAGAGGAAAAGTCTAATTAAATGTCAAACAGAGAAAAAAAAAAATCCACTTTATGAAATGCGACCTTAGCTGTGATTTTACTCGTCGTATCAAATTCCAAGGTGGCTGCCATGGCAGAGGAGTTTTCTGATTGTCTCATGAATAATTTGATACTTGGGGCAAACATAGTGTTTATTAAAGCGTTAAGCAAGACTGTCACACAATTAATCTTCATTCCCACTCAAACCAACTGCAGCTTATTTTAACAAATTCCAGCAGGTGTGACAAGTTAAGGCAAGGCAAGGTTATTTGTATAGCACAATTTAGTACATGGACAATTCAAAATGCTTTATATGAATTAGATAATAAAATAGAAGAAAAATAAAAGCAGAATAAAAGCAAAAACCTCTGTTAAACAAATAAAACAAATTGGACCACAAAAAACAGAATAAAGGCAAATAAAAAACATGATAAAAGCAGGTAGAGAAGAAAATAAAACAGTTGGAACACATTAAACAAATAATAGCTAATTTAGGAGTTTAGTAGTACTTGTTCTAAAAAGTTCAACCATAACTTTGTACCTTTAATGACTTCAGACTCTTTTTTTTTTTTTTTTTTGTTACCTTTGGATGTGTGTGACGGTTGCCACCTACTGCTGGTTGAAGCCATCACAGCCTGAAACTGAATGTGACATTGTCATACATCAGAATCCCAATATACCTTTTATTCACCAATTAAATTAAATTTCAGCCTTCAGGGTTCTAATCGCCAACCAACAATAAAGCACCACAGGAAAATAGTGGGAGCCCATTTTGATATCTCTTGTTATTACATCATCAACCTCTCATTAATTAGATTTTAATATGGGTAAGATGGAGGACTCTTTTTGAAATGCTAATGACTAGCATCCAAAAACACTTATTGCCTCTCTCTCTATAAATATATATCTGTTGATTGGAAGAGCATTAATCCGCATATGACCAGTGGTTGTTTTTGGGTGCACAGGCTTTTTGGTTCCTTGGGGGTTGGGTGCTCAAGTAAAGCAGCTTTGTTGCCATGTGAACTTTAGCCAGCTGGCAAGCTGTTATGTAATCACTACAGAAACGTAAAGTAAAAGCAGAGTATTGACACATTGTCACACCCACACTTCGTTTTCAGCCCTGGGCACTTTTATCCTGACTCCACCGGTCCCACACACAGTAACACCTTCCTTCAGATTGAATGTGATGTAGACTGAGGACAAGATGGTGGCAGTACAAGGCAGACGGAGATTAGCGATCCCATCTTCTCCTCCCTCGACTAACTGTCCCAGATCGACAGCCAGGCTTATGTCCGTGACCTGGTTTTGCCGCCTGCATGGCAGAGATGTGCTGGTCCTGATGCAGAGGCTGCAAGATGTCAGGGTGAGGAGGGCATTGACTCCTCTGAGTTCTAGATTATCTGGATCTGGTGTTCTTTTCTGATATGCTTATAAAAGCAGAGACAACAGTTGTGTTCTGACTGGCAGCAGAAGGTCTAGTTTAGTCAGCCTGAAAAATGTGCTTGTGGGCTGGTTTGTGATGTAATGTCTCCTGCATGGTGCCTTAGTAAATTATATGTTTGAAAGCAGTGGGAGTGACATATGACTGTGATGTGAAACTGTTATTAGTCCTTTTGTTTGGTTCTGTTTTAGCAACTGGAAGTAAAGCTTGATCTTTAAGTATGTTACTTTGTTCCACCCTCAACAAATATACAAGTATTTGCACCTCTTTACATTTTTTCCTGCTTTCGATGGTTACAGTTGCAAACTTTAACGTGCTTTATGGAGATCTAATTCATTTATATGTTTAGTTTTAGAAACAGGACCATTCCTGCCATTTGGGTCTCGTCTCTTAAAACAAGCCAAGCACTGAAACAAAAAAAACCCTCCCAGTTGTTTTTTGGCATTAGGTAGATGTTTTGATGGTGTCGCCTTTTAAAATCTCCCAATAATGATGACAGCATTGGTTGGTGCAAGAATTATAATTCCTATTGGAATAAAACACACAACTTAAAGGTATAGTGGGGGATTTTTTAAAAGACCGGCCCTCTCCATTTAAAAAAAAAAAATACACATGCACAACCCCGTGCTTGCTCCCGAGAGGGAACGCCTATTAAATGTATGCTAGAGCATGCACAGGCCCATTTCTCCTCATGCACGCTCTGTTTAAAAGTTGCTGTTTGCATCGCTCATACAAACTGACTTTCCAAAAGAAGATTTGCAATTTTTCCACTTTATCAGACTCACCATGTGAAAATGACGATGAGCACGTAGGACGGCCCTAGGAGGAACAGAACATTGGCAATAATACATGATGAAAAATGTTCATAAAATTTACTTAAAGTAAACTACAACTGAACAGTGGACAACTGTTGGTTAGCATTATACTAATTTGCATTGAAAATCCCATAGGGATGCTAGCGCTGTTGGTGCTTCATTTCTTCCTTAGATTCTTCAAACCTAAAACAACCAAAATACCTCCTAGACTAGAGGTATCTTAGAAAAAGCAACACTGTTGAGAAGATGGAACAGGACAGTTTAACACCAGAGAAAGATGGCTTTGTTGGTAGCACTGGATCTTTATCGACGGTAGTCTGTAGCCTTTTGCTTCTTACTTTCCATTCAGAAATGCTTTCAGCATCATATCTTGTTTTCCGGAAGGCTCTGCTTTTTCAGCTTCTGGGTCTGACTCGGGGTCGGAGATGTATGGTAGTATCATTCTTCTTCTGTTTGCAGCCATTTTTAAGTGCGGTGTAATGATGGAGTTGGGTGATACCAGCTACAGCTTATTTGCATTACAGCTCTAAAGCAGAAGCTGAAAAGAGGCATAACTGAGGTGAAATCTACGCTATCTATGCATCATACCAAATGTGTAAAAGGGAGCATAATATATCTCCAAAATGGTTTGTTTGAACATCATTCCGCTAATGATGTCATAAGGGGAAACAAGCTGTCCAGATTGGTCTGTAGCAGCCCATCAGTCAGGGTGCGGCCTTCATCTAGACGGTCTGAACGTCCGCCCTAACTCGCAAATCCCTCCCATCTCTATATAGAGCGAGGGCTATATAGTGGACTTTACAGTAAACTCAGTTAACTGACGTTCAGACAGATGATCACATCTTTTTACTCCCCGTTGTTCGCGTAACTCTGCCTCCACACACGGTGCCTGCGCCATCTTTGTTATTTGTCGCTGCTACAACAAATCCCATAATGCTTTCCGAAGCGAGCTCTTGCAAAAGAATCTGGGACACATCTACTGATTTGGTGACCATGGAGGATCAGTACTTTTCAAGGTGCATTGTGGGAAATTTCGAGTCCACTACTTTTTCATCCACTAGACATGTAGACACTAATGTAAAATAGCATATCCACTATATCAGGGGTCACCAACGCGGTGCCCGCGGGCACCAAGGGGCCCTCAAGGACCACATGGGATGCCCTCTTCGTCTTCTGAATACAGAACAACTCACTCAGTGGGTTAAGTTTAATTTTTTTTATTCTGTTGCTCTTCTTTTTAATCATTTATGTATTATTTCATCATGTTAACTATTTCATCATATTTCTGTGGTTTCAAAATGACAATATCAAAATGAAAATAAGAAATTAATAAAAGAATAAAATAAGAATAAAAATGACTTTTTATGCATGAGATTTACTGTAGGTGAACACTGATCCCTCCAGTTCATAGGTCAGTATTGGTAGCCCTTCCAATGACTCGGTAGCCATGAAGTAGCCCTCAGCCTTAAAGAGGTTGGTGACCCCTGCACTATATAGTGCCCTATATGTGGCGGTCGGAGGGGGGGTGACCTTTAGGAGGATTGGGCATAAAAAGCCAAAAAAAAGCTCATCCAGAGGAGGGCTGATTAAGGAGATCTTTGGAACATGCTGGCTGCCTAATCTGATAGGAATTTCCCTTCATTAATCACAAAAAAAAAAACATTGTTGTGGAGGCCTCATTTCTAATATTTTTAATTTTCAAATGTAGTATAAAATAGACCTTTAACATTCTTCTTAAAAATAATCTTAAAACTGTGGCAAGTTGTTTTCACTCCCCTTATTCTGACGTTTTAGACGAAAAGTTAATCTGATTGTTTGTTCACTCCACAAGTTTGGCCTCTAAGAGAGATTAGAAAAAAAAAAAAAACATTGCTGAAATAAAGTCATGCCATGTAGCCTATTTGGCCTTCACAGAAAAAAGTAAGCTGTAAAAAAATAAAGCAATTTTTAGTAAGTGAATAGATCTCCCTACTTTAAAACCTTCTAGTGGCTCCATCATACTGTGGGAATTAGTTTCTTTAGCAGAGAACCAATTTGCAAAAATACCAGTTTCTTCATGCCCAAAACTGTGAGAGATATGTGAAGTTGAATTTTTAGCAAGTACTGCATATAACTGCCTGCCGTACATTTAAAAAAAAGTAAACAAACCAAAAAAATGTGCTTAACAACTATACACTACTTTGCATCTGGCTATTCCATGAAGTTCCAGCCTTTTTTAAAGTTTCTTGTTGTTACATAAGATCTGAATAAGCTTAAGTATCATTTTAGCAAAGCTTTGTAGAGCAGAAAAATTATTATCTTAAACAAAAGTTTCTGTTTCTCTGGAGTTCAAAGACTTGCGTCTTAGGCTTCAGCAATAGGTACAGCCTGGATAAGCTGCTTTTGATGTTAAAAGATATGAGATCCGATCATGTTTTGCTTTTGTCGTAAATCAGCTTTAGAGTCCCCGAGGGGTGACGCTTTAAAACGGTGTCTGTCTCCACAGGAAGATCTGCGTCCACTGCAAGTGTGTGCGAGAGGAGCATGCGGTGCGATCGGTGCCAGGGCAGCTGGAAAAGATGATGACGAAGCTGGTGTCGGACTTCCAGAGACACTCCATCTCTGACGACGACTCGGGATGCGCCTCCGAAGAGTACGCTTGGGTCCCACCTGGGCTCAAGCCTGAACAGGTCAGCCAGTATAAATCAAACTCCCTCACCTAAAAGAGATGCTTTTATTCATTTAGGCGTGTTTAAACACAGAACCAAATGATTTGATTGTGTGTAATTGAATATAGCTTTTGTAACTAGATAAATAGTCTCTCATTTGTACCTTTCTTTGTCTTCTGATGCAGGTGTACCAGTACTTTAGCTGCTTACCAGAAGACAGAGTGCCGTATGTGAACAGTCCAGGAGAGAGATACAGAATAAAACAGCTGCTGCACCAACTTCCAGCCCATGACAGTGAGGTAACTACAGGGACAGCAGCTTTTAATTAGAGGGGGGAAAAAATGCTCAGTCCTTCATCGTGAAAATGATCCAAACAAGAGTCTGTTTTCTTCCAGCCTCAGTACTGCAACTCTTTGGATGAGGAGGAGAGAAAAGAACTGCGTGACTTCAGCCAGCAGAGAAAACGAGATAATTTGGGCAAAGGCATCGTCAGACCATTCCCTGTCACCATGACCGGAGCCATCTGCCAACAGGTGGAGATAATATTTACTTCCGAATCTAAAAAGATGGATCCTATTTCATACTGAGGCTTTTGTAAAGCATCAGTTTTCCTTCTCTAGCATAATTGCACAGATGTGGAAGCTTATGAAAATGTATCAGTGCTTTAGATTGACATTAAGTGCAGCTGCATGTAGGTGCAGGTATTGCTTCAAGGCGGCAGCACCCAGAGTTAATGATCACAGAGCTGTAGAAGCAAATTACTGATTTTTTATCTTTTCTTAAAGGATACACAGCTTCATTTCTTTCCCTTTGTACCACACCCCAACTCAACCACATCTGTTTTTCCAGTGTGGCACACAGATCTGTGGTGGAGACATAGCCGTGTTTGCCAGCCGGGCAGGTCACGGCAGCTGCTGGCACCCCCAGTGTTTCCAGTGCTCTTCCTGCAGCGAGCTGCTGGTGGATCTGATCTACTTCTTTCAGGACGGACAGATCTTCTGCGGTCGGCACCACGCTGAGAGGCTGAAGCCCCGCTGCCAGGCCTGCGATGAGGTAACTGTTGCATCCTTTTCTGATGCAGATCCTTACTTTTTTAATGGTTGGGAGTCAGAAGGTAAAAAAAAATAAACTGACATTACATTTTTTTTCATGATTCTGCCCTTTCTGGACTTTTTGGTTCTAAGTTTTGAGTTTTCAGTTGCACTTTTTGACATTTTGTGTTTTATAGATTATTGCTTTCTTTTCCATTTAGTGTCATCCAAGTTATTTTCTAGCACTGGTGTATTTCTTGTTCACTCTCTGTTGCCCCCTTGTGTCAGTCTCCTTCCCCTTAGCTCCCTTCTAGATCCTTCTGTCCACACCTGCTCCCAATCAGTAGATTACTGCATTCATTGTTCTCTCTGGCATATATTATCCTCCTCTGGGGTTGCTGGATTCTCCCAATTCCTTTATTCCCTTAGTTTATTCCTGGTGTCTCTAATTTTGTGGTTCCTGAGTTTCTTTTCGATCAATTCTTGATAATGGCTTCTGTATTTCTACTTCCCTATTAAATTTAGCTAGAATTCATCTCTCTTCAACTCTGCTTTTGAGTCCTCAACAAGTATCCACTAATCCTGATATTTTCTTTCTTTAAATAAACTAAAACAGTCAGAAACTCTGATACATTTAAATTGATTCTCACATGTTTTCTTTTTTGTTTTACTCCTCTTAATTTTAATAATAAATGCAATTTACTAACCAAATCTATTTCTACTTTTTGCTGTTTGTCCCTCTGTGTTTTTTTCCTAGGATTTAACAGATTAGTCACAATGGCTTACCAAAGAATCAGACCATTTAGGGTGCTTTATGCTGCGTTCACACCGGATGCAGTAGAAGCAGCGAGTTTACATGCAAAGTCAATGGTTGACGCGCGTCAAGGCGCAGCAAAAGGACCCGCAGCACGTTTTGAGCAGCAGGCGCAGCGTATCTGAGCAGCTGAAGCAGCCCGTCGGGAGCGTTTAAGCATCTGACGTGTGCTACGCGCCGCAAACGCTCCGCTGCTCGAGATGGAAAAATGTAACTTTTGCTGCTCGACGCGCCGCATCAACCAGTCAGAGAAGCTGATCTGGGAGCCGGCAGGGAGACAGACACATGGCTGATAATACAGAGCGCTGTGATCACTCATCTGAAACAGTTTATTAACGCCTAAATTAACTTAAAATGCTAAAACATGCCGACAAAATATGTTAGCCTTTATTATCCTGGTGCCTGCAGTTAGGAATATGTACATGAAAACCACCTACCAGCCGCCGCGGTGAACCGCGAGGAGGCGACCGGGCCATAGGCTGCTGTTGAATGGGATCCTACTGACAGCGCACCGCTGGTATGTGGGGGTCTGAGCGGCTCCGACGGAAATAATATTGGAAGGCAGGATGGTAATCTGGATGAACTGACTGCAATGATTAAGTTTTCAGGTAGACTTTCTCACTAAAAACATATTAAAACTACTTTATTCCCACTGATCACAGCAAATATAGCTGCAAGGCAAAGAAAGGATAGAGTAGCTCCACCCAACGCGTGTCAGACACACTTTTTCACCGTCAGAAGCAGCAAAAAAGAAGCAGCAGATGCGATTTTGCTGCTCCTGCTGCGTCCGGTGTGAACGTAGCAATAGACTAAAGTCTCAGTCTGAAGGCAGCGAGCTGAAATAATTTTTTTTTTCTTTTATCACAGATTGAATTTGTTTGTGTGCTTCTGTGTCCACAATGTGTCCCATCTAACTCTTTTCTAGATCATTCTAGCCGATGAGTGTACGGAGGCAGAAGGAAGGTACTGGCACATGAAGCACTTCTGCTGCTTCGAGTGCGAGGCAGCACTAGGAGGTCAGCGCTACATCATGAGAGAGAGCAGACCGTACTGCTGCTCCTGCTATGAATCCCTGTATGCAGAGTACTGCGATACCTGCGGAGACACTATAGGTACCAAATGCCTCCTTGGCTATTCTGAATAGATTTCGTTCTCATGTGTCACTTTCTGGTTCGATTTGGTTCACCTAAAAAATGTTTTCCAACCCCTGGCCTTGAACTAAGTATTTTTTCCAGATAAGCTAGGAACAGAAGATGCCGCCTTCTGTTCCTAGCTTGTATCCCGGTATTCGAGTGGTCATTAGTAAGAGCACTATCCAGGGTAGGAAAGGAGCTCTGCTGAATCCAGACAGCCTTCGTTACAAAACAGACATCCACCTGAATCAGGCTGGTCAAATACTTCTAGAGAAGAACAACAAAATGTAAAAAATGCACAAATGTAGCCAACGGCTAAACCTCTCAGTTATAAAACCCAAAACATATTAAAGTGTGGACTTTAGCACGTGTCAGAAAGAGGAGGAAAAAATACGTAATCTGTTCAACTCTATACATCCTGTCACTCAACCATATAGGTCATATTAACAGCTAGGAACGTCAGGAGCTTCCTTTGCTAACTGCATTGGGGCTAGGAAACACCATGCTTCCTCTTTCTAGCTCCTTCCTAACTGCCAGCACTATTTGGATCGCACTTCAACCGAGGAGGCCGATATAAGGAAGGGTTGGGGTTAACCCTAACCCTTCCTTATATGTATTCTAATGTATTCAGTGTTTATGAGCTAAAACTGCAAATAGTGATTTGAAAAACAAACTCATTCTGGAATACTTTAGCCCCCGCCCCCACATTAAAAATCTAGTTCCGCCACTGCTCTTATATCCTGTATATTTGTTTAAAAGTAACCTCTGAGTTCATCAGAATAACTCTGATCCACCTACTTCTGGAGAATGTTGTTTGTATAAATGTTATGATCACATTTACTTGTACTGATAGTAGTTTATACAGCATTTAATGACAGTGAAATGGTCTCATACGATGCTTGGAAACCAATTTTAACATTGTTTAATAACATTTGTAAACTCCAGATGAAACAAAACTCTTAAAGACAATTCAGGGTTGATAGTTTGTACATAAATTATCAGAGAGCTATAAAAAAACAGAGAAGCAAATCTACCAGTTAGATTTTGTATTACTGCAGGATCTCCGACCTCTGGTAACTTTAAATGTGTCAGGGTTTGTTTTTTCATTGTTTAAATAAAAATTAAAAAAAACATCAAACAAGGAGGCATTTTACAGCTTTCTCACCTTCTAGCTCACCTTAAATCAGGGGTTTGATCTGGTTATGAACATAGCTGTTATCAAATACATCCAAGATGATACACAAAGCTCTGAAACAGCTATTTGTTATTGTATTCACACAGAATAAATGTAAAATACAAATAGCTATGCTTTAAAACACCACTTGTGATATGAGAAATGTAAGCATATTAGTATTTGATGTGGAGCTGATCCAACCCCAAAAAAATGGGGAAACAGCCCTTTAACAATCTTTACAGATGTTGTTTCTTGATTTATTTGTATAAAAACACTGAATTAGGAGAACTATTTACAGAGTCGGTACAAAACACCCTCCAGTTTTGAATTACAAAAAGTATTAACTTCTGTATCAAAACTGTTTATTCTACTACTAATCAGTCGTGTAGATAACCCTCAGCGTGTCCCTCCTCAGGTATTGACCAAGGCCAGATGATGTATGACGGTCAGCACTGGCACGCGGTGGAGTCCTGTTTCTGCTGCGCTCGCTGTCAGCTGCCTCTGCTCGGCCGTCCCTTCCTCCCACGCGGCGGGCTCATCTTCTGCTCCAGGTCCTGCTCTCTTGGTGAGGATCCCAATAACTCAGACTCCTGTGATTCTGCGCTGCAGAGCAGATCTCCTTTCCACAAGAAGACACCAGAGAGGCTGCACTGTGGTTCCCCTCTGCAGCCACTAGAGGGCGTCAGGCATACTCCTGCAAAGGACTGCACGTATACTGCTGTAGAGAACAGAGGTGATATGAATAACTTGGTTTAAAAGTATCGTAACTTTTTTATTTTTCCTAACACTAATGGGATCTGCTTCCATCAGGCCTTCAGTGCAGCGCTCCAGTTCAGAACGGAGCTCCATCACACTGCAGCCACCCTCATCCGAGAGGTTCCTACTCCCCGCTGCCCCACATTCATCTGGGAAACGGCTTAGGGCCAACCTGGCCCAGTGACGTTCCACATTACAGTCTGCTGCCAGGGGAAAGCAGCGTCAAACCCCCAGGCACCGGTTTTCAGTTGCAGAGAGAGCAGAATGGAAAAACTGGACTAACTGGTCGTAATTCAAGAGGAACTTCCACCAACAAGGACTGCAGGAACTGGGTGGAAAAGACTAATCAGGCAATGCAAGGTAACAGAAACCCCTATGTCACAGATAAAGAAATGTGTGGCCACTTTCCAGGAGTCGCCCGACTGCCGAAGTTAGCTCTCCCTGCAACCAGGAGGTCATTAAAGGACCCAGACACACAGCAGAACCTCCATCTACATTCATGTTTATGCATAACATGGCTCCTGTATGGCTGATTTAAACAGTCCCAGTAGGTTAAAATTCATCCACAGTGATGTAAAAGCCTTGAATGCCAGTCTTGTTTCTAGAAGTGGCTCCACCATTAGCTTTAGGGGTTCTACTTTTTCTCTTAGGGTTAGTCTGTTTCCATAGTCTGTTGCCATTAAAAATTTCCCCACTCTCCTTGATGGGCCCTTGGCTGGTCCCCTACAATTCCTTTTTAAACATCAATCTTTATACTAAAATGTTCCTTCTGTCATGATTTGTGGACATTAAGATCTAAAGATAAGCATCATCTTCAGAGTAAAAAAATATGCACGCCTAGGAGAAGGCCAGTGGCTGGAAGTTGGTGGGGATTTTGCTGCCATTAGGGTGGCTTTTAACTGCAGAGGGCATATAGGTGGCTTTTTGATTTACTGAATAAAATCATCATTTGAAAATGAGTATTTCCTCAGGTTATCTCTGTCTGATAGAACTGTTAGTTTGATCTGAATATTGGACAAAAAAAAAAAAAACGGTTAAAACAAAAGAAATCTGTAAAGAAGCTAATAATTATTTCACAACTCTGTACATGATATCGGGTTTAAAATCTCTTTACATTTGTTTTTTTTTGTCTCTGTTTTTTGGGCAGACACGCCTCCCCCCTCATCAGACAACTCCCCCATCCTCCCACCTCCTTTGCCCATTAAGTCCCGGGACCTGATGCCACAAGACCCAACGCCTCTGACCCCGTCTCATCCAAAGGACCCGTCTCCTGACTCTCTTCCTCCGCTGACACGCAGCGGCCCGGCTAGAGTCAGCTTCAGGGAACCAATCAGCAGCAGCTACTCCGTAGAAGAAGATGAGGAGGAGGAGGATGAAAATGAGGAGGAGGAGAGGCTTCATGTCAGCATCGAAAACAAGCAGGGTGACGACGACGACGATGATGCTGAGGAGGGTGGGTTTGGAAGAAGGTTGAACCTTCAGAAAGGCGTTCCACCGCAGATGGACCTGTTAGGTAAGCGGCAGCAGAATCCCTCGCGGTTCTGTATGTTCGTTGAGTCCAGTTGGTTCTACTTCATCTCATTTTTTTTTTCCAATTAGATGGTTCGTCATATCATCCGCGTCACCTGAGGAATGGGTGGGGCCGCTCCCGTACCTCCTCTGACCCCGTTCTGCCTCCTAGTTCTGAGAGGCGCCTTCGAAGCGCGCGGCCAGAAAGGCCTCACCTGGACACTCTGGACCTGAGAGGAGGGAAAGACAGAGATGGACGCAGCTCCTGCAGCATCCCGTCCCTCAGCCTCCAGCAGGGACGCTACAAGCACGGAGACTCCTGTTCCACCTGCTCCTCGTCCTCCGAATCAGAGGAGGAGGGCTTCTTTCTGGGACAGCGGATTCCTCTGCCCCCCCAGCTTCGACAGCAGCAGCCTGATGAGCCCAAATCCCAGAAACCCGAGGAGGGGCCGGAGGTGCAAAGACACGGGGGCCTGAGAGGCAGCATAAGGAGGAGAAGAGCTCTCAGTCACAGCGCAAAGGACAAGGATAAAAACTGTGCTGTCTCCTGAGCAGCCGGAAAATCACAAACCTTTTTAGGAAAAAGTTGAGCCCAGATTGATTTATTCACCTTATTGGTCTGGTTTCTGATGGAGAAGCAGCTTCAAACCACAGCCTTCATATTTAACACACTGAGGGAAGCACATTTTCCCTCAGATGAGTCTCTACCAGACCTCAGGTTTAGGGCATCTGTTTTTGTGGGACTTAGAGATATTAGTGCAAAAGCCTTTAAAAAATCCTCTGTTATTGAAGCACTTTAAAAAGTAGGTAAATGCAGCCTTAAATTTGAGAAAATGTATCCAATGTTAAGATAAAACTGTTTGTAACTACTGTAATTTCAGTATGTCAAAAAAAAAAAAAACAGCTGTGCTTATAAATAGTTAATATAGTATCTATTTGTTCTAAGTAGGAGCCTGATTTATGGATAAATTCAAACCTGTAGTTTCTCCTATCATTTTCTAGAAAGTTTGGTAGCCACTGGCCAAGCTCCAGAGTCCAGGATCCCTTCCCCCTTTACAGGTTTTCCTTAGGATGAGGTCAAGGAAAGCTATGGATTTTCCAGCTATTTGGATCATATCCATCCATCTTCTCCCGTTTAGTCCTTGTCAGGGTCGCGGTCCAGCAGTACATGAGCAAAAAGGCACACAACCATGCGCACACACTGACACCTAAGGACTAGTTAGAGAAGCCAATTAACAATTATGTTTTTGAACTGTGGGGGGAAGCCGGAGAACCCTGAGAGAACCCATGAATGCACTGGGAGAAACATGCAAACTCCATGCAGAAAGATCCCGGGCCGGAAATCAAACTTAGAACCTTCTTTCTGCAAGACAGCAGTGCTACCGACTGTACTACCCTGCAACCTCTATTTGGGTCGTAGATTTTTTAAAGGTATACTATGCAACCGGTGTTGATTTTCCAGCGAGGCTCCCCCCAGAGGGCGAAAGTTAAAGTGCACTGTCGTAAATATGCTCAGCTGTTCTCCTGGTTTCTCCGTCAAGCCAGACGCTGTTGTTTTGAGCTTAGCTTAATGCAATGAATCACCATGTCTACTGCGGTAGAGAGCCCTTTTCCTCTTTCTTGCCTCCTCCGACATGGGCTTTTGCTGTTTTCTCGCTGGTTCCGCCATGATAACTGCACAAATATCGCCACTGCGCTAGCAACGAGCATGCCTTTCACTGGGGGCGTGTAGCAGTTCTCGCCGTAAAGCAAGACCGGGCCGAGGGCTCCTGCAATTGCAAGTACGGTATTTCCCCTACAGACCACTAGGGCGGTCGAGAAAACCTTTGTTCAATCTGAAATGACTCATTTAATCATCCAAAACGTTATGGAACACATTAATTAACTGAAAAATGTTGCATAGTATGCCTTGAAATTAAGATGTCCCAGAATTTCAAAGACTTCATAATATCATGAACTACAAAAACCTTTCAGGAATCTTTAGTATAAAAACAGGCCCTCGGCATCACAGGTCCTCCACTGTACTATCTAGTTGGCTTGATGTATATAATCCACATGTTTATGTGTTGTGCCACATTGTTGACATCCAGTAGATTTGAACATAGCCAAATGTTTTGGATTCTTACTGTATGACTCAAACTACTGCCATACCTGTTGTTGGATGTTTTCACGCCCATAAAAGTGCTCAAATTAAAGGTTATGTATTTATTTTTTTTTATGTTAGGGAGACTTCAATACTACAGCAATAAAAGAAGAATTTTTCTAAGGCTTTTCATGCGTATATGTAAACCAAGCGTAAGTCGTGAATGTGGAGTGATTATTAGTTATAAAGACGTGATCTGACTGGACCTTACATTGATCTAAATAAGAAAAATTACAGTAGCAGATTTTAACGGTGGAAACTTTTACAATGACGGTCTTTTTGTAGCGACCAAATATTTGCAGGCTTAAGTTCTGCCCCTCTGAGCTGTTAAAAAAACAAAAATGTGTTGCTTTAAAAAAAAATTCTAATAAACACTGTTATTTAAGAGACTATTACAGTTCTGATTGTACAGCTATAAAATATATATTTTTCTCTTTCATAACTTCTGTATAAAAAACTCTGCATCATGCTGTAGTTTTTTAGTATTTTATTGCACTTTTTGCTGAGGCCACAATGCGACGGAGAGATCATCGTTTTATGACAATAAATGTGGTTAAATGAGGCATTTCCTCAGTAGTTTCTCTGTTTTATGCCGCACACAGCATGAGTCGGCTTACAGGAAGGCGAAGGCAGCAGATGCCTTGCTGAGATGTTCTCCTGCGGGTTTGCATTTAATATAACACTAAATCTAGCTGACATGTGTCTCATTGGCAAAATACCAAAGATTGCACATTTATTAAAGATCTCAGAAGGTGCCATCTGTAAAACATTTTGGTAAAAGAGACCCACTTTTTTTTTTTCAGAGTGATTCTTCGGATGTTTAATAAAAGCCTCAGAGGACATGTGCAGTTTTGATTATGAGTCGGATGCCTACATGCAGATTTTTATCTTGAGAAGAAGGAAATATGGAGTGCCAACGTTATTTTACACAACTTAGCTGCAAATTGAACACAAATCCCATCAAGCCACGCTCTCTAGCCTGAGGTTAAAGTGTATTTATTTTTCTATATATTGTGTCGATCACTGTTCATTGTAAAAAGATGAAGATATGTTGACACCTGTTTTCTCTAAACGAATAAATGTGATTTTTCGTGTTAACTTGTTCTTTAATCTATACTCAACACATTTAATCGCAGGTAGTGCCGTCATGCATTTTGAACACTCGCAACCACAGATCCTGCAGAAGATGTAAACTCCCAATTCTTTGTCAATGCATCCAGATGGAAAAATGTAGTTAACATCTTCTTTAGTAAACAACTTTTACTCTTCAAGAACCTTGCAAAGGTTTTTGTTCACTTTCAACTTAGTGACTTTTCATCACATTATTGGATGTCATTGGGATTTAAACACAAAGTGCATAAAAATCGATGGAAAATGGTCTAAAAAGAAAAGTGTGGTTTTGAATTCAGTCGCATGAGTCAATTCTTTATAGCTTTGGCTACACTGGAAAAAAATCGAAATCTGTATAAGTCATTTTTTCTTAAAATAAGTGCATTTGTTCTTGGATTGAGGAGGTAAAAGAGACATTTTGCCAATGGAACAAGACAATTTAGATTTTAAAAAGGAAAACACAATTGCATTGTCTTATTTTAAGTGCATATGATCTAAATATCTTATTTTAAGAGCAAAAATACTCATTCCATTGGCAAACTTATCTCATTTATCTTCTCAAATTAAAGGTAAATACACTTAATTTAAGAAATTTTTACTTATTTCTAGATAATTTTTCCAGTGTATCTAGATTCATCCCTATTCCTATCTCGCTTGTCTGTAATTAAAAGCATCACACCAACATGATGCTGCCACCACCATGTTTCAAAACTGCTTTCCAGGGTAATGTGTACTGTTAGATTTCCCACACTGGGACTACTTAAGGTTTTCCTTCAAAAATGACTTTATTTTTACCATTATTCCATAGAAACATTATTAGGAGTAAATGTAGGAGGGTATATCAGCTGTGCTGCTTCCATCAACACCCTTGTTTATAGATGTTGGCGATCTGCCTGTTTTCCAGTGTAGTCCTGTTTCTCTGACTGGCTGGATGTGCTCTCTTCAACCTCTGACATGGGAGCTGCCTTGGAGCTCGTCTGCCTGGCTGTGTTTCCTGGACGGGGCCGCCTTTTACAGCTGCTTTTTCTATCTCTGCTTCCGTCTCCTTGAACCCCAGTCGGCCTCAGCAGATGGCCGCTCACACTGAGCCTGGTTCTGCTGGAGGTTTATTCCTGTTAAAAGGGAGTTTTTCCTCTCCACTGTCGCTACAAGCATGCTTAGTGTGAGGGATTGCCTTTGAGGTGAGGCAATCAGCTGGTTCTCCTTAGATAGAAAACTTTGAATTAATCTGACTGAATGATCTGGTGAACTGGAAAGTGCCTTTCAGATGACGTGTTGTGAATCGGCGCTATGGAAATAAACTGAATTGATTTGAATGTTTAACAGTCCTGAACTAGGGTGGCCAGATGTCCGGCTTTAGGGCGGACAGTCCGGATTTTCATTGCACTGTCCGGCGTCCGGCGCTGCACCCAGCCGGACGTGTATTTGTCCTCCTTTACCCCCAGATTCCACATACTCCGTCAGCGCTCCGCCCCGCTCACGTACGGAGTACTTGTCTGTCATGTAAATCAATGAGAGCTGTTCCACATCCTCCGCTCGTCACCGCCCACGTACGTCTTCTCCGTCCTTCACCGTCAAAATACGGAGCTGATCTATTTTTTGCTCCCCTCCGGTCCGTCCAGATCAAGACCTGCTATTGCAATCACACCAAACAGAAAAAAGAATGTAGAGAAGACCCGGTTTGTCAAATTAAATTACAGTAAAAACAGATCGGTAACTAGAAATTAGAGCATAGTTCGTATATATTCCCAAAAACTAAGAGCAATTAATTAAATAAGTTGATGCAGACTATTGGTGCTTCAACAGACCAGGAAGAAGTTGTGAGATTCTAGAGTTACAATTCTCACAACTTTAAAAGAAAATTCTTATTGCAGGAATGGATGAAGAGATGATGAGTTTGGAAGCAGAGAATAAACAGAGTTCATACAAACTATGTATGATCCTAGTTATCCCTGTTACAAAAATCCACAACAGAAAGAAAATATTTGGGCAGAAACTGAACATCTGCTGGATGATGATGGGGATTTTTTTAATATGTCAGATTAAATTAAGAGTTCACAGGTTTTATACAGGAATGAGGAACTCTAATTTAATGCTCTTTTAATGCTATTAGAAATAATTTTAATGCCATCAACAAGTATCATGTACACAAGTTATTAGTTTACATGAAATAAGGAGCTGTAAGCACAGTTCCATGACTCAAGTTTATATATATATATATATATATATATATGTATATGGATAGATAGAGAACATGGTGAAATCATCTTTACTCTCAACAGGCTGCAGCCATGTCATAAATTCCTCTTTTCCAGCCACTTTTTGCAGTTTGCATCGTCCTATTCTCTAGCTCTTTCTCGAGCTTCTTTTCCAAACAACTGCTTTATGATCAATTGCAGCAGTTCTGCGCAAATTAATCGTGTTAAAAAATTGTCACTTTTTAAACACCACAATGTATTAAATAAATACAAATGCTGGGAACCAATTCTTTTTTACATTTCTTTAATATTTTGTTCTATTCAGCTACACAAGCCTCTTTAATCCTCTTTAAACTACTAAGAATTGTGCTATAAATGTGACTTTACCCGATTCTTATGTACACCTTAGTAATTTATTGATATGCCGCACAATGTC